TCTTTTTTTCCAAGCGTGAAAGCAAATAATTTTAAAATATGTCTTTTCCCAGATGGCAGACCATGATTCTCTCCCCATTCTTCTTCTGCTCTGTTGTTTGTCTAGCAGCATTGTTAATATGTATTGATTTGCATTTACATAGAAAAGCTCTTAATTTATTCTTTTCTGACAACTTTTAGCTGATCTCAGCATTCTCTTTCAGCTTCCTGCTCAGCCTTTCAGCTATTTTTGCATACTGAAAACTGAAATATATTACCTGACTTTATCCACCTGGGCCTTTTTGCTAGTGTCCCTTTGTCCTTTGTATTTGACAAGGGCTTAACCAGTCTTTGTTCCCTCCACTGCAGATCTATTACTGTTTTCATGTTCTGCTATAATTTGCACCTTTTGCGAGGTGAAGCAGATGCTGATGTTAACACTACAATGTTTCTGATGCCTTGGCTCTAACAATAACTGAAAGAGGCAAGTATCTGTCACACCACCTCTTATAAACGATTTAAACTCTGTTACAAGAGGCTGTGACATGAGACTCAAATTTTTTTCTAACATTAGAGAGACTGATAAATGCAAAGTGTTACCAATGGAGTATTTAGCATTGAATCCCACGTGAGTGGCACTGCTGTCCGACCTGAACCTCATGTACATGATGGCTCCTGAGGATCTCTGCGGGCCCGGCATTGAGTCTCCACACAACTTGGCAAGGACCGGGGCACTGGGGTCAGCACCGCTGCGCAGCTCTAGGTAACTCGATGTACAGCTAGAAGAGGAGAGTTTTCTATTCAGTGTACAGCACTAATGGCTTTAAAACATATCAGCAATTACACAAACTCACAAAGCTACAGAGAGTTGGATCAGTTCCCATACAATGTGATGGGGTCAGAATCAAGAAGCTCATAATCACTGGTAGTTTGTGACAGATATGGACATTCTGAATCAAAAGAGGTGCTAGAAGCATAGACAAAAACTTATCCCAAACCTAGTCTATGATCTGATGGGACCTGGGGAGTATGAACAGTGCTATTAAAGCAGTTGTAACAGTCTTTAACGTGCACATCTCTGCTAGTGTTCAGATCCAAGAGATATTTCCTATTAAGCCTATTTGTTAACTGCTGAATAAGGAACAGTCATAAGAACAGCCTGTAGTATTTGGGCACAGAAAGGCCCAAAACATCTTAACCATTAGGTTTTGCCTACAGAATGAGAGCAGTTTATAGAAAACACCTTCCTACCATGGAGCAGGAAGGTGCCTGTTTTACTGATCTCTGTCATGCAATGGGAAGTCCTGTATATAGACAGAAATAACTTGATAGCCTCAGTAACCTCTCTCAAAAATTTGTCAGTTTTGATTAAATCTGGAAGGGGATTCTGGGAGGAATTAGCAAAAGGAATAGGGAAGGAAGAATCAAAATGGAGTCTCTCAGGAAACACAGGCAAAATAACAGAGATATATACTTTGGTGAAGGTTCAATGTAAAACTGATCTTCAAATTGCAGCTCTACTGCATGTCCATTAGGAGCAGTTATGGTCCAGACACAGTCAACATGCGGCGGGTAATTGCTCGGATAGTTCGGGGAGGATATATATCCACTGGGGTTGAAATCATTGATATAAATATTCCCTCCACAAGCTAGGAAAGAGAAGATTACCAATGAAAAACAACATGTTAAGGAAATGGGTGAGGTGTCAAAAATAGGAGTCATCACTATATGCTAACAATTTTTCCTTTTGGTGTCATATAGTCATGTCAAAAACAAATACTTTTTATTTTCTTTCCATGGGAAAATATTTTAATGCAGTGTAGAAAGCTGAACTTCTGTGCTCCTGCCTAGACAGTTCTCCTTCATTTCCACATGTTTAGAACTCTCAATTAAACTGCTAATGGCTCTTGGACTGCTTTTAAGCCCAGCAGGAAACATGCTTCTTGCCTTATTCCTATCCCAGTTCCCAAGAGCTGGAAAGCCAAAAGGTCAGATCCATCAGTTATTCTGTGAATCATTCCCTACTTCTGCTTTCCAGAAACCAAAATGCCTCTTTGAGACAATAACGAATTTGTGCGAAATGCCAGTTAGAGCAAACACAAGGATTTTGGCAGGTCCTTTATCCTACAAAAATATCTTTACTTTCAGCTAAAAGCTTTCAGGGAAAAAAAAAAGATTAACAATGCTGATCAATGCTGATAAATACAGGGTTTTAGTCAAGGAGGTTTTCTAGGCTGAAGTGGTAGAAATATGACTGTACAGCTTCGCCCATTCCCTTCATGCATCCACTACAGCAATGCTTCTTTGCAGCCATAGGAAAAAAGCAGGCAGAAAACAAGCACTTACAAACTCAGATGGACTGACAAGTTGCCTTAGCCATGTTGAGTTCATGTTTAGTCACTGCTTGAGGGAGGGCTCCCTGTGTCCCAAGTGGCAGGTGTCATAAATACAGTAGAAAAACTGCAAGTGCCAAGTCCCTGATTTATCCTGGCACCCGAGTCCCTGTCTTTCAAAAATGTTAGCTCCAACAGGGAATGTTATTCTCTCAGTTGAGAGCACACTTCTCTAGATACGCTAGCCTGAATCATTCCTGACATTACTTAGCATTTGCATTGTGTATCGAATATTGAAACTCACGTTCTTGATTTCAGCTAAGATCCTAACTGTCTCATAAGGGGTTCTCAATTAGATATATTTTTATTTTAATGCCTCCAGTTTCCATGAGCCAGAGCCATCTCTCTTTAAAGAGAAGGAAGTGGAGAGTAGGATCAAAAGTCACACAGTGAAATAGAAAGCAGGAAAGCAGGACATTTTTCCAGACATTTGCCAGGTTACAGTCTCTCTGAGTTGGCATTTATAACAATGAACAAACCACTGACTTAAGAGAACAAATTCAAAGTTATTTCTACAGAGTTGCAGAACTTGTGTTTATCACTTAAACTTACCTAGACTCTTAGCCTCATATTTCAGTTTGAATCCTTGCCCCTCATTGCTGCTGTCAGAAACGAAGTGGACAAACAGCTGGTTGTCCGAGGTGTGCATGGTAGAGATGGGGCTGCTTCCACAAAACCGCCCATTCCCCAAAGGGGGGGCAGCAGCATCTAATCCATTCTTCAGCTGAAAGGAAAAATTGCTAAGGTCACTGGAGCACACAGCCCTGGACTACACACATGGAGCACATGCTATCCCAGGGCTCCCAGCCTTGAAGCAAACAGTAACCTAGTGATTAATTAGCACATAGTAATAAACAAGGGAGGGGCAGAGAAACAATCTTTTTGGTGTTTCTCTTTGGTATTTCCACCTCCTGAGAAACTGGGTGGTCTTACACTGAAGTCTGTAAGATTCAGTAGCTTTAATAGCTTTGAGGCTTTGGGGCCATATTCAATAATCTCACCTCTACATAATCCCCATGGTTGCAGGAAGCATCCTCCGTCTTCACCTGGAAAGGCTGTTCAAAATGGATGGCAATAATAAATCCAGAGGTTACCAGTACATGCCAGGAACAATTCAGATTAGGACCGTAGTTTTGAGGGTAATTGGGAGATGTGATCACACCCCTGCCTGTATGCAAATAGCCTCCGCAGCCTGAGAAGAAGGAGTTGAAGACAAGAATAAAATATTAGCATTAACTACTCGGGTATTTATTCAGGAAGAAAAAAAGTCACCTTCTCCTAGAAGGAAGAAGTGACAAATGAAAATAAACACTGAGGCAAGTGTTTGAAGAGTTGAGAGACATGCAGCAATGCACACAATGAACGATCTGCCAAATACAAGGCAGAAGGTAGCAAAATGACACACACCAAACTTCCTCACACTTGAGATCTGGTTCTCAGACTTTTTTAAGCAGGCAGCTATGCCAAAGATCTCCATGGCATGGACATATCTTTACAGTATTTGAGTTCTTTGCTTCTAGCTATGGGCCAAACCACTAGCATCACCGCAAGCTGCAAGTCAGTAGTGTCTTCCCTGGCTGCCGACTATTTTCATTACACTTTCTTTGGTGCCTTCAACCCAGTCAGAAATGTCACCTTCTGGGTATGTGTGGGAGAAGCACCATTGCAAACTGCTAACATCCTGGTTGGAACTTACACAGCTCCCAGGATCCATCTGTATTTTGTGCCTGTGCTCCAAATTGTTCACTTCTCTCTCCTAGTTGGGCATTCTTTCTCTTTTACCTCTTAGTTGAGCTGTTATAACTTTCTTTAGTCATAGCGTGTACTATTTCTATTTCTGGAAAGAGATTGGACTATTTGAATCATGCTTCATTATGTTATATCTCTAGACAAATGGCAAGTTTTACCTTCATAGAAAAACAGATTTATAAATGTGCATTTTTGTTATGTGAATAATTCATCTGTGTGGTTAATTGGACAGAGCACAGACATCTGTTAAAAATGTCATCAAAAGGCATTTATTTCCTTGCCCAGTAGTAAGCAACAAGACAGATACTGCAGGGAGAAGGGAAACAAATCTTACTTTTGTAATAGGAGGCATTAAACCCAGCTCCAGTGACACTTGCATCTGACATGAAGTGGATGAACATGGTTTCTCCCGTTGATCTTATTGGTCCAGGAGGTTCTCGCCCGCATAGAGTAGCCAGCACTGGAGAAAGACTAGTATCTCCTGGGGTCAGAAGGAGAAACGTGAGTGTTAAAATCAAATAAATTAAAACTTGCCTGTCTGTCACTGTGAGTCTCACATTTTCAGGTAAGTGTTTTTCAAGATCTTTAAACTCTCTCAGACCAAGAAATATTTTCATAGGCCATCGAATACTTCAAGTGAAACAGCATAAATTTTCATTATGTAAACAGAAAACTGCTTTAGTTTAGCTCAGTGGATGACAGAATTTTAGATACTGGAACCTTGGTGTCTATTTCATTCTGTCAGGGAAAAGCAAGATCGACTTCTCACCATCTCGAATAATAAGTTGATCATAGCTGCAGGAGCTGTGAGATTCAATGTCCAAGGCCAGGATATTGAGCTCTACAGTGGATCCAGGAGCTCTGATAAGCCATACACAGTCAGCAAAGTTCCTGTAATTCATGGGCCAGCCCGGTGAGAAGAGGAATGAAGGTGTTTCTTCAGTTGTTACAGTCCCTCCACATGCACCTGCCACATACAAGGAGACAAAATGAAAACATCCCAATTTTAAACTGAACATTGCCAGACCTACAAGGGCCTTTTCTAGTTGGTGTAGTATGCTGTGACCTATTTTATTATGAGGAATATCTAGAATAGGCTCTAGCAGGACCTAACACAGTTTAGTAAAGGCATTGGAAAGGAAGACTGTACACATAACCATACGAAACAGGTATTGGTCAGTTGAGTTAAATGATCCAAACCCTCTTCAAACTGAAGCTTCAAGAGAAGCTTTCTCTTCTTCATTCCTAACAGTGCAGCTATGTGTTTCAGGCCAGGTGAAGTCCTTGATGAGTCATCCAGTAGGTCAGTGCTCTCCCAGTACATAAACCCAAAACAAGTATTGGTCAGTTGAGTTAAATGATCTAAACCCTCTTCAAACTGAAGCGCTTTCTCTTCTTCATTCCTAACATCGCAGCTATGTGTTTCAGGCTGGGTGAAGTCCTTGATGAGTTATCCAGTGGGTCAGTGCTCTCCCAGTACATAAACCCATAAAATACTGCTGCTATCCTGCAGAGCCCCAGGAATCCTTAGTCCCTCTATCCCCACAAATCTGTCTTCAGATTTAGAAAAAAAGACATTTTACTACATCCGAATTAGCCTTAGCTTTCTCTTTTTCAACTTAAAAATCCATGTTATAAGCATATTTCCTTTCCTTACAGGAGCTATTTCTCAAAGAGATATATGGTCATATCGAACATATTCTTTCAATTTATGGTGCAGTTTTATGAAAAGTTTCAAATCACAAGGGCCAATGATTTAAGGATGGTATTTCAAGAAAAATATCTTCCTTTTTTCACTGAAGTACATAGAAAGTGAAATAACAGCATATGGAAAAATACCCTTCTACCAGACTTAAAAGTCTCATTTTTAAAAATATTGTAAAATAATATATGTGAGTGTCCATAGAAATTGTTCCAACACAACTATTAAAATGTTTAATTAAAACGTCAGTGAGGTCTCCCTCGGTTAACAACGAGGGCTTCCTCCTGTGCTGGGGGTGGTTTGCAGGTTTCTCGGGCAGAGCTCGTCCAGCCCTGGGCCCTGCTGTGAGGCCCAGCAGACCAACCTCGAGCCACGGTGCGTGTCGCAGGAGCGCTGGCCACGGCGGCCCACTCCAGCAGAAAACCCCTTCCGCTCACGGAGGCATCCGACTGGAACTGGACAGTCAGGGAGCTGCCGGAGGCTGTGAAGGAGGCAGGGGCTGTGCCGCAGTAGGTCGCAATGGGACGGGAATGAATGCTGGGCCCGTCATACACCTGCTCTTACAAAACAGAAAAGCAGTTAAATTCTGATTGCATGCTGCTAACCGTGACGCTCTCACAGAAGGATCTGCACAGAAGCCATCAAGCTCCACATATTCCTTGTCACATGCCTGCTCTTTGGGGACACTGACTGGTTTCTTTTGTGAAAAAAAAATCCATTAATACAATTGTGTGCTTTGCTGAGATTGCTTTGTCGAGAAACAATAAAATTTGCAGAAAAAGGGATTCATTTTCTTGTTTTGTTTTTCTTTTCCTTTTTTCCTGATGAACACATACATTTTATTAGATATATTAAATATATATCTAATTTATCTAAATCTATTAAATATATATTATCAAATAAAAATGTATTAAAATATTTCCTTTTTATTTATTTACAAGCTAAATTCTTGGTTAATAAAAATGTGCTTTTCTTTGGCCACCTTTATGTCTTATTTGTATTCTTCTTCTTTTCATCCTAAGAAAAGCAGTTCCGACAGAGAAAGTTAAGGAACGGCAAATTAGCATTACATTGAAGGTCTGACCCCTGAGTCAGGTTAAAGGAGCCTGGCTGATTTACTCCCACTGAATATCTAGCTGATTTAAAGAGCTGATCTTCCTCTCAGAGGCTGAACAAAGAAAGCCAGACTGAGCTGGAAGAAAGAAGATGCTCTTAGATCTGCTATGTGATGAAAGAAGTTACATTTCCTTTTTGAATGAGTATTTGGATAGCAGTGAATTAATAATTAATTAAATTCAAACATATTGATCTAGTATTAACTTTCCTGTTACCAAAGAAGATGAAACAAATGTTTACTGGGTTAGCTGGTGTATAAAAAAAGAGAGAGAGAGAGAGCAAGAGCAGGGATTTACTTTATTTACCTAAGCAATTACTAAATAAGGCTTACCTGTATTGCTCCATTTTGCTTAACACTACATTTACTGTATTTTTAGCCTGAAAAAGACTAGACTGAATTATACAGAGGGAATCAGTGCACCAGCAAAAGGGGAGAGAAGGAGCAGTTGGAGGGCTGAAGCACACGTAGGCTTTTAAAATTGCCTTATTTCTAGAGGCATCATGTTGATATTATCAGTACTGATGTCAAATGAACCCATGCTGAGCAAAGCTCAATCTTCTATTCTGGTATATGACTTGAAATTTTTGGATTAAAAAAAAATTATGATTGTACCATTGTGGACTTATTTTCAGGAAGTTTCAAACTTCCTTCTTGGAAATATCTGTTAGGGAGTATGTGACTCTTCCTCAACCCAAGAATTACCAAAAAGATACCCCAGCAAATCAAATAAGCCCCAACCAATAAGCTCCAACCTGATCTGTGGAAATTCCTCTTTTATGTTGTTCCAGTAATTATTTTTATCAGTTTAATAATAATAATTCTCAAAAGGAAATCACCTTTAACTTGTCATAATTGCATCTGTAATTATCTTCAATATCCATCTGCAGGATACGACCCTGGATAACTTGCGAAGCGTTTACACTTATTCGCCACTGGTAATTGGAATTGTGAGGGTAACTCCTGGGCCACTGCGGCGAGGCTATTTGTCCTCTATTTCCCACAATGTCATTTCCATACACTAAAAGAAAACGAGAGACAATGCTTCTAAATTGCGTAGATTAAATGAAGTGCTGTGGCACAGGCATGGCTTTTTTATGGATTTATTTTTAATATGTCAATTGCCTGACACTGTAGCACTGACATATGGGCAGATATTTCTAACTCTAAGGCTACCGGCAACCTTGGGTTACCATAGAACTTTTTAGCCCATAGCTCTTATTCGTGTCCTCTTAGACCAACATTATTAAAGGGGGAATCTCAAAACTAGGTGAGAAATGTACTTAGAAAACAATCAAGTTAAAAATAAAATGCATTATATTTTGTCTAATCCATGGAATTTGTTTGCTTCTGTAAGGATAATGTGATTCAGTTTGAATACATGATCCGTTATAATAATTAAAAAATGATAAAAGTTCATGTCTAATTCTTCTCATTATACTCAATAGACTTATATGCACATGAGTTACATTTTGATATGTTATAGAAAGAGAATCCACCTAAAGTTTAGGCAGATATTTCAGAAAATACTTTCAAGTCAAATCACAGCCTTGTTGATCTCAACAAGAATTTTCAAATATACTTTACAGGGCCAAACGTCCACCTTTTTTGAATCCTTTTGCAATTGTCATGGAAGAACAATAGTTTTTAATGAAATAACATTTACTTACAGTGAGAGAATGTGACCCTGAAGCCACCAGCAGTGATCGAGCTATCTGAGACAAATTTAACCCACAGAACATGTCCGACCGTAGATGTATAATTTACAGGCAAGGAGTCGCCGCAGAACCGCCCTGCCAGCACGCCTGTTTCGTTCCCTTCCCGGATCTCCAGGTAGTCCTTGCTGCAGCCATCACTCTGTTCCACCTGAAATGCTCTGTTCAAAAGCAGGAGGAGGGCATGAGCCAACGAGGCACCAGAGCCTATTTCAGCTTGCCCTGCTGTGCCACCAATTCCCCTGAGGCTGGTGCCAGGAAGATGGCAGCAACGGCCACCAGAACCCAGAAATCACTACATCTACACAGCTTTTTCCTTTCTGTCCTCTTACCCCATGGCAGAGCTCCAGTTTGAAAAGTTACGATTTCTGAAGAGTTCTTAAACCCTTTTAAAGACGTGTTGGCTCTCCAACGACATCACTGAAACTTAGAAAGTTTCTGACAGATTTTTAATATAAGGCTGTGCTGGACTTTAGCAATTACTGGGTGCCGAGAAAACTTTTAGCCTTACAAATCAATTTGCAGCCCCCTACGTGAGTGCATTATTTCCTTATATTCTCTGATCAGAAAACAATTTCCAAGGGCCATTCATTCGTAGTCAACACCTCTCAGCTCAAAAGTCCCTGAGCTCTTTCTCCAGAATTATGAAATATTACTTCCGCTCTGGCCTCTTAATATTTCAAGCAACTGATTCTGAAAAATAATAAAAAATGCTATAAATTCTTCTAACCAATGTTTTCCTTAGAAAATGAATGGGATTTGGCAATCATATAATGAGCTTTTAATTACTGCATCCACCTTAATGCTAAATAGATTACAAAAATAATTATCTTAAAATTTCTAAGTGAAGTTAATCTAAATTAAGTGTTTTTATTCAGTCCAGTATACTTTTCTGAAACTGGCCATGCATATATAAAGTAGTATATAGTAAAGATTCCAAATGTGTCTCTTACAACCAATGCCCCAGATACTTGTGCTTTCTGATTTTCTGGTAACAACTCCTCCCCTTCCTTCAGTCAACAACATACCATATGTCTCCAGCGTACAGACTGTCTTTGAAATGGTTCCAACCACTCATCTGGATACACTTTAGACTAATTTAAAGCTAACCCCAAACTTGCAAGACAGGCAATTTTGTTGAGGCCGAGCTGAAGAAAACGAGTATCTCGTGCCAACAAAACTTCATAAAACCCCACTACTAAACTAAATAAAATAAATAACTCTTTCTAACACAATGTCTCCAGGTTTTCCAGTGTTTTTCAGCTTGCCTTTCAAGTATGCGTAACTGAAGGAAAAGGCCTCCATCAACTCAGTATCACGTTATATATGCAAATATATGCACTGCTGATATTTCTGCTTCACAGTAGATCTCTGGTTCCCAAATATATGCACTGCTGATTGATAGTTTCTGCTTCACAGTAGATCTCTGGTTCTGTTCTGAAAAGCTGTTATTAATTATTTTGCAGCAAATATTTTGGAAAATGTATTCAGGCTGTGGCACTTATACTCTGTTTCAGTGAGTAAAGGAGGACTATAATGTCCTTTTTATTGTGTTATTGAGACAGTATGTGCTTAACAAATTGGACTTTATGCAGCTGGCATATTTTCCTCTCATCCTGACTCGCTGCAAAAGCAAGTTTCAGAAATACCTTGCTTCTCCTGCTGATCTCTGATCAGCTTTGCTAGAGGACTGTGCTCTCTTCCTTGGCACCAGGCACTGTTAGATGCTGGGAAGCAGAAAAGCTCAGCAATCCACATCATGGTTAAACATAATCTAAGTACCCTGCTAAAGGACTCCACATTGTTCTGTGGATCATTCATGACTTTCCTGTCCAACAACTTCAAAGGAAATTTTATTTGCTGCAGGGAAAAAAATTCCTTGACCTACTCCCTTAGTCCCTGTTGAAATCCCTGTTGTACTTTGCTTCTTCTTGTTGGGGAAATTTTGTATCATTTTTATAGTGATAGTCTATGAAGTATTTGGGCCCGTTATATTCCTCAGCTGTATAATAAATAGTATGATGAACTCGGAAGTAGAGAAATAATAGGAATATCATCCGGAAAAAAGAAGCTGGCTTCTCCAGCATCCCATGTTTTTCAAACAATAAACCACCTATTTGTATAATACTATATGTGCCTTAATATAAGCAATAACTAAGAGAACATTGACTTTGAGCTGCCACCATCCACTGCTGTGTTCTCCTTCCAAGTTATTCTAAGGACACGTTCCAGCTCTATCATCTGGTAATTGCATTTCCTAATAAACACCAAGCATCCTTCCTTCAGCTCCGTTACAGGGCTGAGTAATAACCCCCGGCAATGCATTTACATGAAGGACAGCTGGAGCCGGTTCCCAGGGGAGCTGAGAATCTTCCAGACGCACTCCGTGTCCAGAGGATACGGCTCAGGATAGCCGGGGCTGCTGAAAGCTCCTCTCTCCATGTGGAAAGCACCCCCGCAGGCTGCAACGAGAAGGAGACAGCAGAGGCTGGAGAAAGATAACCTAGAAAAAATAGCTCTTGAGAGGGCTAGAGAATTTGCTAATCAGGAAAGCACTTCTTGTTCTTCGATTTGGTGATCTCCCTGCTGAGATCTTGGCCAAAATGAGAGTTAGGGCAATGCGATGTTTAAATGTGGCAATGTCAGAGAGACGAAGGGATGCAGCATCTGCTCCCTCTCTTAAAAACGAGAGGCATGGGTTGGCAGCACCTGCTGTATGGACTTACATGACGACGACGCAGCGTAGGTGGCGTAGAAGCCCCTGGCGGTTACGTTGTTGTTGGAGAAGAAGTTCACCACCAAGGCATTACCAAAGGAAGTGACAGGATGCGGCAGAGCAGTGCCACAGTAGCGGCCTGCAAGAGAACAAGCCAGACAGAGAAACTGAGTATTCAGCATAAAATTACTCTTGCTAACCCAACATTTGGGATTAACTTGGGATTAACATTTGGAATCCCTGCCAGCAGTCAGGGATAACATTTGCTGCTTACAACTGCTGTTGTAAATTAAACACACAGAAATATGAAATAGTCATTTTATTACAGAATTCAATTTTTGCTTTCACTTTGTCCAGAAAATACAGCCTAATTTGGAAAAAAAAAATCCCCTATAACCCATATAGCATGAGGGTTAACCCTATTAAAGATATTCCAGCAGGAAGGCCCTGACAGCAGAGAAAAGGGTGCTAGCTTTCAAGTCCTCTTACAGAGGAGAGGCCCAGGGCAGGAGAGAGAGCAAGGAAGGCTATTATAGCCCAGTTAAGCAGAGGGTAACCCCACTCCTACTGAGGGAGTATATGTGAATCCAGTGTAAGGGAGGGTGGAATCAGGCACAGATGCTCTCCATTTCCCAGGAGTGAATCTGAGGCAATGCTGGGGATGCAAGAAGAGCCAGGATCACCCTGCAGCCAGGGCTGCCTTGTGGTTTACTGACACTTTAAACAACGCTGAATTTTGCTGCCCCTTATGTGAGGGGGTGATGGTTCTGGATAGAGAAATGAGGAGAAAGCTGCAGAAAAATCAGAAACCAGCAGAAAGTCAACCTTTTGGAGGTTGAGAAAAGATTGTTTTCTACTCCCCAAAAGCTGCATCTTTCCTCACCTGTGTATGGTGCTGACTCTGCTTATGAGTGAGGGTCACATTATGTCCTTGCACGGGTAACCTGAATAGTACCATTTACACCGCCTGGCTACGGCAGAGCCTTCTGCCTCCTCCCTCCTTACTCAGAGAGGAGAGAAAGAGGCCGCAAGATGAGCCCCACACTGTGAATCTGGACTGATGCACCTGGCGCCTGCAAGGCCCTCACGGATCACACTGAGGGGTGGCCCTGGGCCGCCCCACCGTGGGCACTCGCACGGCCCAGCTGGGCAGGAGGACACTCACAAAAACGTCACCTTCCAGCTTACACTGCTGGTTGTCCTATGTATGGAATAAATAAGGGAAAGCACAATACCTTGAAGAGGAGCCTCGTAGTTATTCCCATCCAAAATCTCTACAAAATCCGTCGTGCAGTTTTGCCTGCTGTTTTCAATATTGAAGTCAGTGAAAGAGAGTGTAATGTGGTTAACTGGTAAGAGAAAAGAGGGAAAGTTTGAAGGGAAGGATGGCATTTCACACATACATGATGACATATAAATACACCCTGGATTTCTATTTTCCTTATTCATTTCAGGATAGCAAAAGTATCATATCTCCCATAAAGTCAAAGAGTTAAATAAATTTGTGTCTGTTACTGGATCATAAAACATAAAGTCTGAAATAATTTGATTTTTATTTAATGATTTATATAAAAATATTATGAAATAATTTAATTTTAGATATGTGAAGTGAATTTGGCGGCCGGCCATTCATCTTTACTGTAGAAGTCCTAGTGTAAATGTCACCAAATATAGCACGGAAAAATTACACGTTATAATTGAAAAACAAAACCTACATCTATGCATTCATGACCTCCTGTCCCTTTGTGATCTATACCACAGATCTGGACAAAATGTGAACTGACGGTGCCCTGCTCCAGGCTCCAAAAGAGCTGGATCTTGGTGTTTGGTAATGCTCCACATACATCAATCAGGCTGGGTAAAGGATCATTAACTACCCTCAGCTATATCCATATGGAATTGGATTTTCCAAGCCCTCAGACTGTAGATTGCAAGCCAAAAAAAAAAAAAGAGGATTTCTGACTCAGGGTATTTTTGATTCTCATAGTGCTATAGCTTGCTCAGTATGACCAATGGCGAATTCATGAATGGGAGGAGAGAGGCTTTTCTCCACACCAGCCCATGGCAATAGCTAGTTCCAGCCTTGACAAGCCTACGCAGCCCCACAAGGTTTTTCCCCACACAGACCAAGTCTGAATGTGACACAAACATGTTGTTTCTCCCTTGGCTACGATTAATTAGCTAGACCAGGCTGAAGTCATGGAGAGGGCCCTGGCGCTGTGTTCGGCAGGGTGCCGCTCACTGCCAGCCCCTTCTGGGCACCAGGACAGGCAGTCGCCCACAGCCAGCAGTGCAAGTCCTCAAGATATAGAATGAAAAGGAAAAACAAAAGGCATGATCACAACATACAATAACTCTGCTATGGTTTCAAGTGGCTACGTTTACTCGATATGGCTATGTTCTGTTATGCTTTGTCGTTGGCCCAAAAAAACACACGTGTACCAATAATACGTGGAGCACGTAGTGGTGCTTCTGATACATAAAGGAAGCCTCTATATATACGCAGTACTTTTTATCCAGGATTTTTCTTCTCTCGCACATAAATAGGGAGGCAAGAGCTACGTATGAGCTTTCAACCTAGATCCAGGAAGAAACTGTCCATAAAAAAACTTGTTGTATAGGTTAGGAACAGCTTTGATGCATTTGAGTAAGAACCTATGCTTAAAAATTGCTTACTTCCTAGCTCTTGTTTTAGTGTTTGCTTTGGCGTATTGATTTTCATTTTATAACTTACCAAAATAAACTTCTAAATGTGGCTGGAACACTTTATGATTTGAATGGCAATGGATAGATATCAGATGAACAAAAATTGTTCATTCACCACCAGTTAAAAATAAACATTTACTTCAAATGATTTTACTAGGATACTGTAACTCTTCCCAGTTGTACATATATTTTAGGAAATCTTGAACACTGTAAAAGTAAGACTGGGTATCCAAAGAAAACTGTTGGTGCTTTGACATCAATCATAAACCTGTTTAAAATTAGAAACATTTGATAGTATGCCTATGTGCATGAAACTAGTGTATTTATGTTCTTTTAAAATTCTGTTTTAAAACAAATTACCTTCCGACCTCTTCTCATTACTTAATTGCAATTTTATTTATTTATGTTAACAGCACACATCTGAAACAACACAACTCTGGCCAGAAAAATAGGGCCAAAATAAGGTCAGAAGTTTATACATATATGTGTGTGTGCATGTGTATGCAAATGCATATCTCATATTATATTGATATTACATATTATATATTATGCCTCATTTATCTATAAGATTTCCTGACAGATGATTCCAACTTTGCATACTATTTAATGCCTAGTTTATAGTTTCAACACTCAGGTCCCAGTAAACCAGCTAAGATGACAAAATTGTAAACATTTTTTTCCTCACTATGTCCTAAATCCTTCTACAGTAAAATCTGATTTAGGACAGAAATTAGGAGGAGATCCACATTCTCTCCAGCTACCAGGATGCAGAACTTCCTAGAGAAATAAAGGAGGAATTTTGTATTGTTATTGCAGAAAAAAAGGATGAGGATATTAGTCACCCAGCTAACTAAAAAAGATGTTTTTACTTACATGGTTCCTGAGCCTGAATGATCCAGCTGCAGTTCTGATTGTTTGGGTATTTGGCAGGATACAGAGGAGAGGAAATAGCTGCCCCAGCTGAATCTGACTCGATGAAACTTCCACATGCTTTAGAATGAAACACATATATACACACACATACATATATATATACGTATAAAAAAACATAGATTCTGCAGTGAAAAGGAACATACAAGAAGTAACATGCTGCAGCAATGTAAAATGAGGATAAAATACATGAATAGAATTTGAGCAAAGTCAGAAAGACCTGAGAGCAGACCTTGCCTCATACACAGCTCAAAAGAACAACCTTGGGGCCAAAATAACTTGTGTTCTGAGTAGACCAATCATGTATCTGTTTCTCAGATCTCTGAGGATCAGGAAAGAACAGTTAGAAACACTCCAGAAACCTGCCCATGGCCAAGGTCTGCAGCACATGGCACTGGCATGATCCTCTTGTGAGATGGATCAGCAAAACTGCAACTGTGTGAAATGCTGCACATAGGCAAAAGCTTAGTGCACTGTGCGACTCTGGCTAACAGTGCTGAGCGAGGCAATGCTTGATCTCTAAGCACGGTGACTTTTCACAAGCTCCCCAGTTTGGAGCTTAACATCCTGCTGTTTTATATGTAAGAATGGGGAGTTAGGTCCCAAAGTTTGGGATCCAGGCATCATGCTGTGCAGCCATCCAGCAGGAAATGGGAATTCCAGGTTACAGGGTATTCTCGGGAAGACAGAACCTGAGCTGCCTCCATCCCAGGCTAACTGGCCTGGCCTGGCCTGGGGGATATGCTCTGAGAAGATCTAGCAGGTTAGGCTCTTGTGGTCAGTATTCAGAGATGCCTAGTTAGGCATCTAGCTAGAATGCCACTAATTGGGGTTGTCAAGATTTGAGGTACTTCAGAAACTCTTACTGATGAAAATTCTTTCTTTTCTTTTACAAAATTTTACAAAATTTTCAAAGACCTGTCTTTTTTGCTAGGAGAAGTGCTAACATATAGTGAAAAGATTCCTACTAAAACAATGAGAGAAAGGGATTTTCTCCATAAAAACTGGTTATATCTTGGAATGGTGGGAGGAGAGAATGCTTTCAAAGCTATTGTGAAAAACAAAAGAAAGAAAGAAAATCAACAATAATATGAACTTTCTTGAAAATTCTGCCCAGCCGGAGCCATTTCACTTCAAACAAGAAACCATGGAAAATGCCGATCCACAAATTAGATTATTCATGTTTGTCAGGGTTTGCAGGACTGAATCCATGTACTTCATGAGGAGCACAGCACACAAATCTTTCATGCCTTTTCAGATTCGTGAGCATGGAGAAAGACGAAGCGCTGGTTTGCTACTTGCCCTGTGGGCTGCCAGTCGCATAGTCTTTTCAGGATACACTGGGTAGCCCACCTTCAAGGGAGGAGGAATAAGAGGCAGTCGACACATCTGCTAGATAGAGGGCTTGCCATAGAGGGCATTTTTCTTCCCAATCTAAAAATGTAATATGATCCTGTGTTTTTAAATTCTTTGATCTATAATTTTACAAAATTCAGTCCTGCTAAAGATATACATGGGTATGCTGCACATATAAAAACAATACTTTCCATTACAAGTTGTGCTAAAAAAAATGATTAGACAAACGTGTGTTTATGTGAATGAAGAAGCTACCTTCAGTAAAGCGGGCGCTGAAGCCCCGGTGCTGGATGGTTGTATCGGAGTGCATTCGGACATGCACCACATTCCTGGACGTTGTGATTGCAGGAGGATGCTGTGTCCCACAATATTTTCCAAGAAGTGGTGCTTCACTGCTGGGGCCATCATATACCTGCCACGAACAAGTGGAATGAAATACCAGATTTCTATAGGAGTCCTGAGAAGACTTTTGTTTCATTGCCTCTCTCATGTTTCATATGCTTGGCTCCTGATACAATCCTGGTATTAGCAGCTCAAGCAAATTATGCACTGCCTGACTTAATTCTGTGGCTATTTCCAAAGAATGCAGCCACTTCAGGCTGAAACTACTGTGATCTGTATAGCAAAAGAGCATAGTGTATACGCTTCCACACTGTGTATGTCTGTGATGGAAGCAACTCTAACAACTCAGATAGATAGCCCCAGTGTGAGTTCTTGTGTAATTTTTATTCAGTTAAACTCTTAATCTTGCCTCAGTAAAGAATTCTATATTGTTTCTAACATGCCACTAGTGTATCACTGGGACTGTGACAGTGTAAATAAGGAGAAGACATCTGGGTATCAGTGGGACTGTGACTGTGTAAAAAAGGAGAAGATATTTGGTTTTTTACATATTTAACACCTGGAAGATATTCCGGTGCTAGGAGGTAAAAGGCTAAATAAAACTGCACTTAAAGTAATGCCACTGGGTTAAAGGAGATCTACATAATTATTTTTCTTCTACTTTAAATATCTCAAATTCTAGAAAGCCTGTGCAATGCAGTACTGATCAACTAAAAATTTCCAACTAAAATGTGTAACACAATGCAGTGTTTCTGCCTCTGGTATTCAAAGGCTTTTGAGTACATTAGTGAGAAAAATAGAACAGTAGTTGAAAAAAGATGACCTGTCTCAAATAAACCTCCAAGCTGAGCAATAAAGGACAAAACTCCTGTTCAATCCACAGAAATACCCCGCTTAGCCTGTGCTGTTTTCATGAATTAAACATTTGCCCTTGGGCATGTAACATGGGCTAGCTGCATGGGTCGTCGTGATGGAGTATTAAGCGTACTGCAATGTCTGGACAAACGAGTACCTGGTAAAGAGAACCACCATATCCATCCATTTAACCTTTTCTTCTGGCTCAGCATCCTGCCACAGTCAGCACTTTAATACATACTGTGCACTGTTTATTTTAACCCTGCACAAACATTCTGTACATTAATCAAGCTGTCTAGAGTTAAAAACCACAAAGTGTGAAAAAAATAATGTCTAACAAAATAACCCTTAGGAATGAAGGCATCGACAGCCCCTAGACAGTATTGTGAGGGTTTTATCTGTGCGCTGCAACACAGGACGAGCACTGCACTGAGTGGGAGAGCGCCTGGCAGCAGCTAATGCAACCTGCTGCTGTGATGGATGGGTGCTGCTCCGTGCAGCTGAGGGTCCTGACACGGGGATTGCTACGAGCTGGGAGTGACTGGGCTGTCTCTCCAGGGAAAACATTACGGATGACCAGCATGGGAGACTAAGCAGACATTTCATCCAAAGAGCTCTTTGAAATACAGAAGTCTTCCAGTGTTAGTGCTGGCGCAAGAGGAGAGAGTCGAAAGAACTCGAGAGACAGTTAAAAGATTGTTTTCTAATCAAATATATTTGCTGCTTCTGGGAGACATGTTTGAGGAAAAGTACTGTCTCATCTTTCAGAAAACTAGGAATGGCTCTTAGTCAGACTCTTAGTCTTAGACTCTTAATCTTGCCAAAAAAAATGATTCGATGCAGAATGCATATCTGTATGCATAAGTGATACTGAAGTGCTGTGGCATTTTAGGAGTTACGGCAGCTACAAGTTCAGCTGGCACAGAGGCATGTAGGTATTTTCTGGTTACCTCACATTACTCACCTGCTATTTATTAACTTAAACTATTTGGTAGGGAGGATTTCAGTCTTGAGTCTAGATAAGAAATCAAAATATTTCCTCACTAGTTCAGGGAATAGTTGCATCTCTCTACAGTGTCTTAAAGTGAATCAGGAAACATCTGAGAAACGCATTCCTGTGGCTGTATAAGTAAAGAAAGATGATGCATCTGCTCACAATAATTCTTTTAAAAGCCAGGTTTTCTCTTGCATTGCACATTAGCAGCAATTTGCTCTTCTCCTGTCTTTACACAACAAACATAACTGAATGATTCATCTCCTTGCTGAAATGAGTACCTCAATTTGCAAAAGCATATTATAAAAAGAAGACGATTTTTGCTTTCCGAACCATAAAAACCCTATAGCCTAGATGTTCTCTCTGGGAAGATACTCTCTGCCTGCACCTGGAATAAAGTAAGTCGTATCTCCACTCTAGCTCCCAGAAGTTTACATTTTCTGCATTCCAGTGTACTGTTTGTTATACTGCAACATGAAAGAAAAAGAACATTTACTTAATCAAAGCCACTGAAGAGAATGAACTATTTCTCCCTCTCCTTTCAGTGCCTTGTTCTGCAAATGCTGCTCTTTGAGTCATGCCTCCATAGGCTCTGCAAATACTTGAAACTCTTGATGGCTTTCACTAACGTAACTGCAGATATTGCTCACCAGCTAAACACATCCCATTTCTTTTCCTCTATTTTCCTGCAAAGAAACAAACCGGTTAGCTGTCAGACACACTGTCCACATTAGAAATAGTATGGTACAAAAAAAAAGAAAATGATTATTTATTATTTATGTATGGTGACAATGTCACCAAAAAATCTTTTCAAGACCTTATCCTTTCAGTAGACCGGAGAAAGTGGTAAATTCGCATTTAGCACCTAAATTTAGGCACTCAACTTGGACACACATCATCAATGAAGAATGCGCATTCTGGTGGTCTGGGCTGCTCTTGGGAGGCCTCTCTCTCCTGTGCTGTGTCTATTGACTCTAGAGGGAGCTCAGAGCAGTTACATGCTTAAAATTAGCTGGACTGAACCTAAATCTGTGCTCAGGTTTACACAGGAAATCATGGAGCAGAACTGAAAAAGGCACTGGGATTTTGGAGGAGCAGAATAGCCAAGAAGTACCAGACCTGAACATTTTCCCTTCCTCGTTTTTGTTCATAATTGGGTAATGGAGGACACTGCAGGAAAATGGGTGTTTTCCTGTGTTCCCAATGGAAAAGAATTCGAGGCAGAAATACTAACCAAAAACAAAACCCAAAATAAAACAGAAAGAGGAGGAAGAAGCTCAACAAAGAACTGGCAAATTGTATGTGCCATCTCAAGTCATATCACAGGGAAAAACGAGTTCGTCTAGAAGGGGAAGGATAAAGGAAAAGACCTTTGGTATGTTCAAGGGTGGAGGGAAGCCCCAGGGAATTGACAAAACAAATAAAAAACATAAAGATAAGTAAAAAATACAAAACAAAAAGGGTGGAACCATTCTGTTACTCATACACAGCAGTTGTTCCTATATTAGAGAGAAAATAACAACCCACTAGCTTCCTTATCTACCCATATTTTCCATTTATGCTCCTCCAGATTGCAATTCCTAAGCCATTCCCAGTCATACATGTCCTTTTATATCCTCAGGCCCTTCCATCCGCTCATTCTGTTATTGTACTACTTTGCAAGACATATAGAGAGCCATGGAAAGAGATGCACACAAACCACATTTAGGTGTTGGAAGCAAGCAGTTTTCATCTTATTGACATATTAAGAAAGAAATGCCATGTAATCTCTTTGTTCTGTTGATGACCCCACATTGGCACGGAAGAGCCATCCCCTGCCTCACACCCTGCTCAGAGACCTTCACTATCTCTTGGCTCCAGGGCAGCATTCCTCCTCATCCGGTGTCCTGTCATCCTGAGCTTGGCAGGCAACGACTGATGCCTGCATTAGACTTAAATCTCCTTCCCAGTTCACATGGCTGCTTCAGTCAGTTTGCACAGTTGGGGCTAACAGGCTACCTCTTCCTCCACCACCCCACAAAAGGAAAAAAAAAAAAAAAAAAAAACAAACGGCGTATCCGTATCCAGCCTATGAAAGTAACGGGAGCTGTGCCTAGAACTTCAGGGAACTTACAGAGCTGAGTACTCCACAAGGTATTTAGACAAGTTTCACTGGCAACAGGTTTAAAATCACAGCTTGGATTTTAGGTCTTTTCAGAATTTAGTCCTTAATTGGGAGATTTTTTTGCCCAGTGCTGCTGTTTAAGACGGCCCATGCTTCTGCCAGGCAATTTGCTTTTCTACTCCTGTGTCACAGAAGACTCTTATTTTCCAATAGATTTTTCATCTCAATAATGCCCTATGTGAAATTAAAAAAAAAAAAAAAAGATTAAAGAAAAATACATAGCCATATTTCCCTATGCTTTGGAACCAGACAAAAATCAACATCCACTGGACAAAGATGCTTTGTAGCCAAATGAAATCTTCAGTTCTGCTCAGCAAAATGAGGACATGTTCCTTTTTACTGATTCAATACAAAAAAGCTTTACGAGGCAATGCCGTTAAAAGTGATGCTGTTTTCAAAAGAGTCTCTGTTCCTGCCAATTTGCGTTCCCTGTGAATGACGGTTTATCGAGGAGAGAAGGGCTGGATTTTGGGCTGGAGCCACCGCGCTTTATCCGACTTGCACCAACCCCACATGCCTTTGTACTGAGTGAGGCACAATCCGGCAACAAAGGTCAGGATTTCATGTTCCTGCTCCTGCGGGGCCGAGTGTGGGACGTGGAAAGCTCTTCGTAGTCGGACGCTGATCAAGCAGCAGTCTGAACTTCCACGAGATCAACAACAGCTCACACACTGACAGCAACATGAAGCTTTTAAGGGGGCAGGCTCCCTAATGAAGCAATTAAGCAGCCAGCTGAGGAGCACCTGAGTACACAGCGCACACAGAGCAAAGGCCAGCAAACCCCAATTCCTCCTGGGCTAGGACCTCTCCTGAGTTTTGTAACTGAGTGTGGGCAACCTATTACAGATGTGGGCAGAAAAGGGTGTCATAACACCAGCCACCTATATACAGGGCTGGTGAGAACTTACAGAACTACTGAGAACTTACTTACACTACTAAAAAGGATGCTGGAGAGAAGTGGGAACAGAAGTGGGAACGTGGCAGAAGGCATAAATGCATTTGTGAAGCCTGCTCCAGTGGTGGAGGAAAGGGAGCTATTTAGCTTTACATTTAAGCCTTAGCTCGTCTGTGCATAAATACAGAACATGACTATGCAATAAACAGCCTGAAAACAACTGCAACCAAGGTTGCACAGGGAACTTGCTCTTTTGCAAGCATCTCGGCAGACTCATTAAGGGAACTTTTGAAATTTCTCTTGTTACTTACAGCAACACTGTCATAGTTACATGAGTGGTGATCTTCAATGTCAAGATCCGTGAAGTTCAGTAAGACTCGGTGGCTGTAGTCAACTTGAATAACCCAAGAACAGTCTGTGTTGTTACTATAAGGCTCAGGATAGTTGGGAGAATGGATTTCACCACTGGTAGCTTGGAAAATACCACCACAGCCTGAAAAAGATATGATCAGTTTTAACCGTAACAAGTCATTTATCCTTAGCAATATGCTACTTTTATTTTTAAACTAAAGGAATATCACCCCCATCTTTGTATTGTCTACATTAAAACTATGTAAAATGAGTGCTCCATCTGACTGGTAGTGATGGATCCTGTGTGAACAGCGCGAGCTTTCAGTGTGACTGACACAAATCAAAGGACTTTTATGGGATGCAGGGAGATGAAGCGGGGTGAGAGAAAGACACAGGGACTATTGGAGATGGAAGGGGCCTCCTGGAAGGATAAAAGTTACACTGCTCTTGGGCTCCGATGAGATGGAATTTTAGAGGTGAGAGGGGGGAAGTGCAAAAGTGCAAGAAGATGTTATAATGGGATGAGAAAGCTTCAGGGGGGTCTAAGCAGTTTGGAAAAATAAACCACCAAATCTTGGAAGAGGATTAAGTCAAAGGACTATTGTAAACTGTGTTTTTATTCAAAGAAATCTTGTGCCTTTTTCATAAAAGTTTTAAGAATGGAGAAGTTTGAACCCCGACAGGCCAATGAATCAGTATATTTAATCAAGTGAAACTGCAGGAATTAAAATCTGCCTTTTCTAACTTTTCATTGCAATTATGTACTGGCAATTAGCCTTTTCATAAGAACTCCCATGTAGAAAAGATGTGCTTGGGTCCTTTAAACATTTCTCTTCTTTCACTGATTACCAGTAAGGCTTTGAACAAATAATCACATGGGGATGGAGGAACCTTGTAGAGTTCAAGGATTTACTAATCACTCCAAATATTTTGGAGTTCATTCAATTCTCCAAGCTAAGCCATGTTCTCAGATATTTTTCACTTTATAACCAGAAGCACCAGTCAGTTAGTAAAAGGCTGGGGGTGGGGAGAGCCCTGGCATACAAAAGTTCTTTTCTGATTACAGGAATGTCTTGTATGTCTTCCTATGTGCAGAAGAAAGAAGCAGACTATAACGATACATGTAAATAGGCTTAAATATAAGAGTTAAATTATTTCTTTCTCACTGTTTTCTTCTGTGCGTTTTTTAGTATTTCTCTTAGTGGAATCAAATCCAGCAACATCCTAATTCTCCTTAGCTTTCAATCTTATTCTGCCTGTTTATTTTACATGTTTGCATGGGTGATCCTTCTTTCTTCTCAGACTTCCAGAATTTCTCTTGGGATTAATCGGCACACTCACCACCCAGATTTTCTTGCCAGGAGGCATTGAAACCTTTTCCAGTCACTGCTACATCCGTCTTGAAACGGACGACGATTGCATTGCCTGTGGTGGAGACTCGCAGTGGGTTGTGCGCTGATCTTGAGATGCACAGCTGGGCTAGTCTAGGAGAGAGAAAATCGGGTCCACCATAGACCTAGAAATAGAAGAACACTGTCAGCCAGAAGTTCTCAAAGACAGCATCTGCCATGGTAGAATACATCAGAACTGTTCAGGCAAGAGACAAAAAAAATCTCAGGTAAATTCCGAAAGTGATTCTACATTTTTAAACCTAAGGCAGCTAGTAAAGTTATTTTCTCAGCAGGTTTCTTGGCATCTGAAACACCTGGAAAAAGTACGCAATTCTAGATGATTTTTTGCCTTGGAGACTTTGCCCCATTCTTCTTCCTTGACCCCGCCAGTATTAGCATCTTGTTTCCATGAGGGTATAAAAGTATATTTTTTGCTCGCTTGTACAAACACACTTGCTGGAAGTTGTGTTGTTCTTTTGTGCCTTTGTGTTTAAGAGCACAGTTAAGACTGTTTTTTGGGCTTTTTTCTAATTGGAGCCAGACTGGATCATTGTCTCTGATAAAATATAACAATTCTTGTGACTGGCAATTCTTGTGATTTCAATGGCAAAATCAGGATCCAACTAGGGGATTTTGGCCAAGGAAGTAAATGATACACTTAACAACACTCTACAGAAATCAGGGCATGTATTTGCCACAGAAAATAGGCTTTGGCTTTTCAGAGATCACATTTCTTTTCTGAAGGTGTTCCTCAGATAGTCACAAGCCAGAAGAACACCGATCTCTTAAGCATCATCAACAATCTTATATACTTTAAAGTGCAGCATTAAACCTATTCAAGTGAATTAGATTGTCTGGCCTTGTAATTGTTTCTTGTTTTCCAAAAGGTATGTGGGATAATGCTTTGCACCCACTTGTAACTGGTGGACTTGGCTCATCTTCACTAGCCAGCCCTCTTATACTCAAAGCAGACACACATGCTTAGCACAGTTTTCAAAACTAGGCATGATTTCAGTGCCTGGTTCCTCAAGGATCAAATTTTCTTGGTTTCTTATATGGTAACGAAATGCTGCAAATGATCAAGTTTTGGTCTCCTGCCTCCCATCGGGATCTCCCTGGTGAGACAGCAGCTCCCAAAGTCAGCTTGACAATAATGTCAAGTGGGAATACTGTTGCTGGAGACACTAAATGAAGAGAGTGCCATTGCCCTTTGGCAAATGATTTAGCAACAGCTAGAACAGTAACAGCTCTTCCTACCTGCACCAGCATACATTGTATACACATCCCCAAGCTAAACTAGAGGGTGACGATTTCTAACAATAAAACCAGATGGGGCAATAATTTGCATCAGGGTTTTCCCTCAGTATCACCCAGGCTTGTTCCAGTATTTTACTAGTCCAAGCAACGAAAAGGTCAGAAAAAGCAATCATCTCTATGTATTTTTCAGAAAGTAGCAGCATCATAAGGACCAATCTGCTCTGTGACCCTTTTAATTCTTATATATGTGTGATGAGGGCATACACAATGTTTTCATAAGCTCTGCCTGGCACTTGCTAACTTCAGAAGAAGTTTGAGTTCAGTCCAAGGTAAATATCTAAGCAGGTGTTATAAATAGCTGAACTAGTTCCACCACCTCCAAAGATAAGTGTAGAGCATTGCTACATAGCCTGATTGACTGCGTTCTCACCTAATGTTCACGGTGCCCAACCTGCTTTGTCATTAAAAGTACAGGCAAAAGAACTTTTTTGTTGCTTTTTTAACCTAGAAGAGTATTCAGTAATTCCACATTAATGTGGCGCCTCAGAAGCTGAAGCTCTCCTGAGCTCTCAGAAGCAACAAGAAATGAACTGTCCTGTAACCATGATGCTCTGTAAGATATTCAGAAGATTCCCTTTTGTGTTAGTGGCTGATTTTACATGCTTAAGTATCTTCTTTAATTTTGACTGAGACCAGCACTTTTATACTTTCTGCAAGGAGACTGCATGACCTGAATGCATAAATGGCTCCTCTGCCAAACTGATCATCTCAAGGCATGCACAAGTCAGAAGGGATGAAATTACAGCTCAAATTCTGACTGTAATGAAGCAGCCTCAGTGCTGGGAAGAGGCATGTTTGTCCGCTGGAAGCCCAGCGGCTTCAGCAAATGCTTCGCTGCTTGCAAGGCCCAACAACAGCTGCATTTGTCAGAAGTCTGTTCAAAATGTGGATCTTAAAATGTCTTTGTGGTATATCTCCCTGAGTCAGAGCCACAGCATGGGACCCAGTGGGAACACATGCTCTTAATCATCTAAACCTGCCCAGTGAAGCTATGTGGCAAAGGAAGCAGCGGGACTACTCAGCTCTGATGTGCATCATACCCTGGCCTCACATCGTCCCTGCTGCCGCCGGGGCCATCTGCACACCATGGGCAAGGGCAGCCCGGCTCTGCAATAAGCCCTGCTCCTTTCTGTACCATTACCTCAGGAATTAATTTGGTTCAAGATGAACATTCACTGTTAGAGCTGGACTGCCAAAAAGAAAATTAAGGATGAGGAAGAATTATTAATAAGAAGCTGAGGTTTGTGGCTTGCCTTTACATTGTTAGCTGCTCAGCAATAGCCTTCTGCACAGTTTCAAAACCAAAAGCAGTAGCTAGAGCCATGCTCTTTAGTTAGGAGTGTATTTGCTTTTCTCTTTTAGGCCAGTTCAACTAATCAGATGCTTTCACAAGGGCTGGAACAAAACAGAGTGTTTCCATGACAAAAAACAATAAAATGTTACTTTTGGCTCAAAAGAGGAAAGCCAACAGTTACCACATGAAAAAAAAAAAGGAGAGGGAAAAGAGAATGGATGGAAAGAATGAATTCCAGGGAGTGGTTCACAAAGAGTCACAGGATGTCCGAGCTGCAGAGAGATAAAAATACAAATAAAAACATTTAGTCTGATCTGAGCACCTGATCCAGAGATGAAATAATGTTGGATGGAATAGCGGGGATGTAGGACACTGCCATAAAGCCCATGGTTTTAATCTGTTCTTACCACTTGCTTCTGCTCCGTTAGCTCCATTTATTATTACCAGTCAGCATTCCAGAGTTATGAGCAACAGAAAGTTGTTTTCATGTGGCTGGTCCACCCTCATGACACAGATTTCTGGGAATAAAACTGATCCCTTTTCAGATATAACTGCCAGCAAAGAGAGTCTGACTTTGACAGGGAAACAAGAATCATGGAAATACTTTATTTCTCTTTACATTTTAACAAGGAGACCAAAGCAGCCGAGAAAGCTTTAGAAATGCAAGAGATTGACTTTTTTTTTTTTCCCCTTTTCAGCTCACAGCTATGTCTTGCTGTGGCAACACATATCTACAGTTTACTAAAATCTGGTCACTGTTAAAGACAATAAGTTATAATTTAACAAAGCCATCACAGTCTATGTGTGTATTTTCGTAGAGATCATTTTTAAAATATATTCAGCGCCTTCCAAATAGATGGCCTCTATTTCTATAAAACATTTATAGAAAATATCTTTAACCTCAAAAAATGCTTCCGGATGTTTGTAAAATGTGTGGAATATGATGGGGGTGAGAGAAAAGCTGCAAGAGCATCAAAATAGACACAAGAGGGAGGATAAAGGGGAACCTATTGAACACTTGAGCATGTAGAAGCCATGAGGAGAACCTGACGATTCCATGCACAACATTTTTACTTAACCACTATTGAAAAGACGTAGTGAAATATGTGGCAGGTCCAGGACATTGACATAAAAATGACAGTTTGAGAGGCCTTGTCAAAGGAAAGGGAAGGGAGGTGCTTGCTCCACTTTATGTGAATGAATAAGCTTCAAAAAGATGTGCAAGAGTGAAGTCTTTAAGAAACTGCTGAAGACAAAAAGGAAGATAGAAGCAAAGTTGATGTGATGGGAGCCACCAACTGTCAGAAATTTCCTACAACTCTGCAAGGTAGAAAGAGGATGTTTCTAAGTAACAGGCAAAAGCAATGAGGTGAACAAACCCGGTTTCTGGAAAAATTTTATTATGGTAAGATAATACACTTTGTAAGAATAATAGGAAAGGACATAGAAATTCATTGCAATGTTCTGAAAAAGGCTTCTTGTTTCAGAGAGTGGAAAGAGTTAACCAGGCAGGGGAGTCAGAAGGAACAGCAGGCTACAGAGCTACTTTAGTTCTGATTTTGACTTCCTATTAAAATTAGAAAGTTATTTGGTTTGAAAGAAAACAGGAAGTGGTAAAACTCACTATTCTAAGATAAGGAAAAGTGAAATCAGAGGAATAACTATGAGAAAAAAATATATATATTTCAATAACCACAGAAATTGGTAGACAAAATACTCTTGAGGAGGTAACATTAGGGTGAAAGGAGTTTGGGAAATCCAGTGATCGTTGAAACCAATTATGTCAAAAGCACACCAAGAATCTCTTCTTTTCCAGGCAATTCATCAGGCTTGCATGGGTGTGTGCATGTGTAGTTGTCAGTTTGGATCTACGTAGACAAGTACAGCAAATAAGACTGCAAGGTACAGCAGCTCCTGAAAATAGTTAACCACATTCTTTTTTTTACCCTTAAATCTGAATCATCTTTTGTTCTGTGCAGACTATATCAATGATGTTGTGAATTTCTAACAAGAAGAAGGAAGTATATATGGGGAAAATTACAAAAAAAATCTACAAAATACATGTAGTTTGGCAGGGAGAATTTTATACTGTCAGACAGAACCTTTGATCTTACACTAAGACATGAACTGAAGTTCCCCAATAGTTTGACATGTTTTAGTTTATCTCTCAGCAGATCAGAGACTGGTGTTGGAAGCTGGGTGGGCAGAGGAATGTGATGAGGAACCAACAGGCACACAGACACTGAGGGCAGAAAGGCTGGGAAGTTCAAACTGCAAGGTGGGCATCTCTGCTGGTGAACACATATGGACAGAAAGAAGTAAAACACGGCAACTAATTAGAAGTAGTGAAGAAAGAAAACCGAAAACGTAAGGCAGATTCCTTACTCAGGGGCACAGAGGAGCAAACTGTTGCATCCTCTTAAGCAACTTCTTTATGCAGTTTGTGTCAGGTAGCCCATTCATTAGGGTTTTAGGCTGGCCCTCTACTAGTCAAAAGTTGTTAAGCAAATGTGTGCCAGCCGTCTGTATTCCTTCTGCATCCCAATAGCTCCTGGGTGACCAGCTCTAGGTGTAGGCATCATCCTTGCACTATTCAACCAGCTGAACTGGACTTTGTAGCTGTTTAATTGATTCCTGTGGGCAACAGAGGCATGACCAAAGCTTACAGGCACATGAGCCTCAGTGCAGTCATGTAGGCACAAACAGCAATGAAACTACAACACAGCTGACTTCATCAATATCCACAGCAGCCAACGCAGGTCACCTATGCACAGGCATAGGTGTCAGCAGTGTGACACATGGACGCTTGCCACTGCCACTGGAGAAGGGTTTATGGAGCAACTTCCTTACATCCAAGTGCTGTAGAAGCCTCAAAGCTAGTAAGATACTAGTGCCCTCATGATCAATAACTCAGTTTCATTGCTTAGCCAGGAAAACCTGGTTTAAAGCCAAAAAGTTGGACTTACTTAAGTCATGCATGTCTCTACTTGTACAAATGCTTAACAATCATCAGTCTGGCCACCAGATATCTAAGAGATGCTTTAGGATGCAGGATAACGGGCACATTGCTGTTGAGCATGCGCTAAGTACGCTGGGCTGCAGAAGTCAAAGCGACAAAAGTAAGGAAAGACGCCAAGAGTAAGGGCACATGGTGGATGGATAGCTGCCTGGCTGTATGCCAGCCCTACTTCCTGTTCCTTGCGAGAACACAAGGCCCCAGCACAGTACTATCATCTCTCTTGATGAATCATTTATTTTTAGTCCATTATGAGAACATTAAAAATTCACATGGGTAATAACAACAAAAAACCCAACAGTTCTACCTCCATTAGTGATCTCGTATCTTTCTGATGAGAGCCATCTAGAAAATCTATCCTTCAGAATAACTTCTTTCTGAAACTACTTCCTAGTGCTTTTTCCTGCACTGGAAGTCTATTCAAATCTGTTAGCTGGGAATTGGTCATGTGGCTGCTTCCCAACAAGAGCACTAAGATGGGTTATATAACAAGACCAGGCACTCTTCCAGGTCTCTTAAACGTCAATAAACCCTTAGAGGGTCCCTTTTCTCCTTGTCCAACCACCCTGATCTGCTCAGGTCACCGCAGCACTGCCTCTTCTTTTATTTTTTTTTCAAGAACAAAGGATCTTCACAATTTCTAGGACCCATAGTTATAAACCTCCTCATTTCCCTGGAAGGTCCTACACAAGGTCCCACCTTAGCTATCCACCCAGCAATACATTATCTTCCATTAGCTTTGAGAAATGTTATCTCTATGGTACAGTACCCTGCACTTAGTTCTTTGGAAAGGGTGGACATTTTAAGACTTCAGGCTCTTCAGAATAGCTTTTTCTCCTGTTACGAACTGTGCAGTTAATTATTGATTAAGGTGTACAAATAGCAAAGTCATAAACACAAAAATTAGTGAGGGCTGTGGTTTCTGCAGCATGTGTGGAATGCAACTTTAACCACAGCTGAAATGGGAAACTGCAGTAGACTGTTCTGCTTCTGCAGTTCTTGGGATAACTGTTTCAGACAGAAATGCAAAAAACACTTGTATATTTTTGAGGGCAAAATCTACCTCCAAAGGCCTAAATCTTACCTCCAAAACATCGTAGTTGCAGTTTGGGTGATATTCAATGTCGAATTCATGGATGGTGAGTTGAATGCTGCTACCAGGTGCTGTGCGAATGTACCAGATGCACTCCCTATTGCTCGGGTAGCTGTTGGGGTAGCCGGGGCTGTGAAACGATCCTGACGCGCCAGAGAGTTCTCCTCCACAACCTGACAACACAGCAAAGCAGCCTGTCAGCGAGGGGCTCTGCAAAACCTCCCTGACAGCCCCAGGACACACACAGGCATCAGCACCTGCTTGGTGCATAGATGTCTACGCTGGGTTTCAGGGCCCTCACTGTAAGAGGGAACCAAGGTCTGCTCTCCAAGCAGGGAGGAGAGAGCCAGAAGCTGCAGGCTGGAGCTGTTGGCACTGCCCATGCAATAAGTACTTCACCTCCAGGTTTCCAAACCTCAGAATCTGCTTTGACAGCTGAAGAAACTAAGGCACAGAGTGAATAACTGACATTTTCATATTGGTCTCTAACTTGGTTTGATCGCTTCTAGAAAAATGAATTAGAACCATCCTCAGCTGTTCCTGGCCTCAACTAATACACTAAGCTGTGATGGGGAGGGTTTCCTATTGTTGCAAAAATGCCCTTTCCCATTGCTTTAGAAATCATAAAATTAAAAAGACAATACAATTTCCCTCAGTCCACTGAACATGGCTACAAGCTGCCAAGTCACAGTAGCTGAACTGGCTTTCTGATGTCTCATGGGTTTAGCATTATTCTTTTCTATTCAATTGTAACTCTGCAATGGTGAGACATGCCATGTGTGGAAAGTTTTGTGCTTTCTTTTCAGATAAGAAATTACTGTCTCAACCCCACTCCTCAGCCCTTTATGTGATTAAATCCTTACACATTCTGAGCTAGAGGAAAAAAAGAAAAAAAACAAAAGGACACAAGCAATAGACCGAACACAGACCCTGGTTTGGCAGCACAGAGCAGCTGAACCTTGGGATCGAAGCCCTTGGACGGCTGCCACTGTGGCTGAGGAGTCACTGGGTCTCCGATCACTTTCTATGCTCAGTCTTAAGCTCTTAGAAGAGGGAAAGACACTTGGAAGAAGGAGGACGTGGCCACAGCAGCCTTCAGCTCCGAGACAACTGCTACAGCCTTCGGTGCGAGGCAGAAAACCTCTCCACCTGCTTTATCACATGGCCTACGAGTTGCAAGGGCAGCATTTGCCAATCCCCTGCACTAAACACTTTACCTAGATAGTTCACAAAAGAAAATAATTAGCCAGTACCCATAAGGACATATATAGCAGCCTAGGAATCATCAGTGCCACAGATTTTGAAAATTTCAAGTAAAAAGACTGGCGTTCCCTTTCACCCCCCACATGCAACTCATGAAGTGTTACAATAAGTAGCTCAGGTGCCACTGCCGTGACTGCCATCACCCACAACCAAGCGGTTGTTTTTGCTACTGCAGCAGAAACAGCTCTCAGCTGTGGCTCTGCAGTGTAAGTCTCTGCGGATGAAGCTGTTCTGCCCCTCATCTCTGTACCACTTAATCCATCAGCTTTGGCTGTGGCTCTCTCTTCCAAAACACGGGTGTATCATCTCGGTTTTAAGTGCCACACAGGCGCAGCCAGGAGCACAGAAACGATGGGCTGAGGCCATGGTTATGCCTTGGCTTTACTCATGCATCAGTGGCAACTCCTGCCCTCACTTCCTTCGGGTTCCCAGCGAGACCCTCTCCCTGGTCCAGTCCTGCTGCTGTCAGCGGGAACTGCGCACCAGAGGAGCAAGCAGGGTGGCTGTTTCCCTGCCACGTGCACAACGCAAGAGAACTGTGGGTTTGATCTGATTTTGTGTGTTTCGTCCTGTCTTGCAGCTGCAGCATTTTGTCTCTATGCACATTACAAGCCCTCAAGTTTCTCATTCAGGCTCTAGCTAATCTTTTGCTAACAGTTTTTGTGGGGTTAGTCATGTCACCCTTACAATGAAAATCCACATGCCATCAAGCTCTTTGCATTAATTTCCAAAAGGAAGTCTTTGTCACATAGCAAAAAAAGCCTCAAAATGGTTATAATAATAATTAAGCCACCTAACAATCAACAAACTGTATTTCAAGAGGTAAGCTGTTACTTATAGGAAATATTTTGCAACATTAAAAACACCTACCCCTTTAACCTGCCCAACTGAACCACAAAGAAGTGTGAGACCCTCCTAATCTCTACTAAATCTATCCATAATTTGCAACTTGAATGAGGTTTCCTAGGCCATTACTCTCCTTAACACATTTCTTTCTTCACCAGTTTGTAAATGCCTTCTCTGATAAAATCAGCATGGTTAAAAGGCAGCTGCTAAACCCCAACAGCATCTACTGCCATCTCTGCTGCGGGGTCTTTCATCTCCTCACTGAAAGCTTGATCTGGACTCTCCCACCTTTGGCTCTGATGCCTTTGAGGGCTGTGAAAGGAAACAGCAGCAGGTCTGATAGGGAGAAATGTAGTTAAGAAGCTTTTTCTAAACTAGGTTAAGAGCCACGTAAAAGCAGACATGAGGGAGATGCCTCCAGTCATGCCAGCTGGGTAATTTGCATCTCTGACTCCATCACCCTGTACTCATGGGAAAACTGCCATAAAAAAATGAGAATTCCCACAGCTGGACAGCAGTTAGCTATAACCCCAGGAATCCTTTCCATGGCCGAGCTTGACCTCAGAGGTGAACTGCCGCAGGCGCAGTCCTGTTCTCCGCGTTCCCCAAGGAGAGGTCCCACACAAGGACCTTTCCTCCACCTTGCAGCACATGATGCTGTATAACATAACTGTACAGTATGCCCGGGAAAAGGCACAAGGAGATGTTAACAAGCTACTGATGTCTCAGTCAGGAGTAAGAGCAGCCTTTAAGCACATCCAAAACCAGCTTTGCCTTCAGCCCCCCCAAAGAGAGAAGCACAATGGGAAAAGGTGCTTCACTTGCTTTCCCTGCCCGTCCACACCAGTACAGAGCCACTACCCCCCTGTACCATTCTCTGCCCAGGAACCTTTCAGCAGAGACACAAAGAAGGTTTCAATGTAACCCACAATCACACTATTTTTTTCCTGTGCTCCCACCAAAAGATGGTCAAATTTTTCTTGAAAAAAAAAAAAAAGGATCATTGGATTTGTTTCAGCTGGAAAACCAGGGACGAGGGGAAGGCCCGCGGCTGCATTTGCAGAGCAAGCTGCTCTATTTCTCTCCCCTCGGAAGCAGGGATGAGATGGCCACAGCGGGCAGGTTTCGGGAGGGGAGGGATTTCTCAACACACAGGCTTGCATGGCCCCGCTCCCAAGAGGGTGGAAGGGGGAGGCTGCGGAGGTTGGGCGTTGAGAACAAAGCCAGCGGGTATTTATCTCAGCCTGAAGAAAGCTGGGAACATTTTAAAACTAAACAGGCAGTTATGACTCAGCTTCTCCTACTAAGAGTTTCCTGATATCCACAAAGACATGTTTTTCATTTAAACCCAAAATGGCTAGGATGAGGGGAAAGCCGGTGTGCTGCTCTTGCACTACTCGGGCTGTCTCTCCAAAGCGGTTTGTATTTTCTCCAAGCTCATGATAGGTATGCAAAGCGCACCAATATCACACTATTGTTAATGTGTCATTTGTTTCCTCCCAATTGCAAAATGCTCCCAGAAATGGTATTTTTTAAAAGAAGATCTTCTAAAGTGCTCCAGTAAAGGAGGTAAAATTTAGACTTGCATGATATTTTTTTCTTAAAATGAATGTACTGAATTCATGTCATCAATCCCTTGTTAATTGTCTGAAAACCGATCAGCAATTGCTTCTGCTTATTTCTAAGTATTCTCTGAAAATAGTTGAAAAAAAAGGAACAAGCTAATCTTGGCAAATATGTGAACTTCACAGACCTCCATACAAGAGCAGAAACCTCCATGTCAGGCAGAACCATAATGTATGAGCTCTCCAGGCAACGGGAGGAGAGCTCACGTGCTGGCCTTCTGCGCTCACACAGATGAGAGAAGAATCCTGCTGTGCTTCTTGGAGAATTTTTAATAAAAAAATTATTTAACAAAAGCTTTATCAAAATACTTAGATATTTTAAGAAATATTCCGATATTAAAACTCATTTTCTATAGCATTTATGGAACATTAAAAGGATGAAAACTCAAATAATGATAGCAAAACTTATTGGAAATGTTTACAAACCTTTTCCGTGAAGTATTTGCCAAGCCTTAGAACCAAGAAAAAAGAATTTCCCTGGATATTGTTTGTAATTCAGAAACTGGTTTTGATTAAACCGCTTTGCACTCTCTATTTCAGTTCCTAGAACGTTATGGATTCTTATTACTTGACAACTACTTGTCCTGCAAATGCAAATTCCGTACAATAGTAGCTGCCTAATTTATCAAGACCCTGAAATCCGGAAAGTTTAAATGATGAAGTGATCAGCTCAGCTAATTAAACTTCTCCCATCTCTGGCTTTACCCCAACCTTCTCATGATGTTTACAACTGTCTATAAACATCAGATCAGATTTCGCTTCTACTCAAATATTTTTTTCCTGTTTATTGCAACAAAGAGAAAATTTTTTTAAGGGCAACTGCAATTGAGGAGGCAGATCATACAAACTGCTGCCTGCTGCCAGGTCCCACTGACACAAGGGTGAATCTGAAGTGGCTGAGTACGTAGCAAAGCGCCTGCAGAAGTTTCTGCAGCACAGAAGTACGTGGTCTTGCTGTACTGGGACAGCTTCACACACGGCTGCACTGTGGAAAAGTTTCCTGTGGCTAAATTGTGGATGGCATAGGCTCAGTGTGGGCAGACCTCCTTGAAGAGGCTGTAGAAACTTCAACTTTAGAGCTAAACAGAAAGAAAAAAAAAAGGGGGGCGGGGAGAGAGATTCTTTTAGTAGCTAAAAGGTCTTGGAGTTCCCTTCAAAGTGCTTAAAACAGCTACCTAAGGTGGTGTTAGTTGCTAGGAAATCCGACAACAAATAGAAAGCTCAGGAAACCTGCATTTGGTGGCTTTGCTTTCCTCTGGTTAAAATCTGGGTAGGCAGCAAAGATGGTACAGGGCGTGATTTATGGACGTCCCTCCGTATGAGTGCCTGGCTGGCTAGCAGATGGTGCTCATTAGCTGAGGAAGAATCTCTGGTCTCATAAATAATTACAGCTGAGCACTGAAGTAGTAATCTGTGGAAACCTCAGGGTTTTTGCAAAGTTTTCAGATTTATTCAGGGGTATGTTTTTACCCACATGCTAGAAACTCCCTTCCGTACATCTTAAAGTGACTTGGCAGCGGTCACATAAAACCAGAGTTAGGGAAAGGGAAGGATTCATGATTGTTCCGCTCGTGGAGACATTTTGATCAACATTAACCAAGTCCAGTTGTAAGGAGCACGTTGCAAGAACATTTGCCTCTACACCACTAATAGTGCATGAAGCATAACTTGGATTTGATTCTGATTTTTTTTCTCTCTTGTGTAGATAGTTTAGAGAAAAAATCCCCTGAAGTAGTGGGGTAATTTTTGTGAAGAGGAGTTGCAAAGGTGAGTAAAAACTTAAGAGTGGGAAATGTTTTTTCCCCCTTGTGACTTTGTTAGCCACCTCTATAGCTTTGATTATTACTGCTTTATCAGCCTCTTCAGTCCTGATCATTTTCCTCAGTGGAATCCAGTCTGACACCAGTAAGATGTATATTAAATAAAAAACTACTGGGAGCCAGACAGCTAAACGCAAATGCAAGTATTCAAACAAGACTTGAATCCTCTGAGATCTTGCCTAGTCACAATTATCTTATCAGCTGCAGGTATTCAGGGTTTTTGGGGGGAGCAAAAAGAAATTAAAAAAAAAAACAAGACTTACTTTAGCTTTCAAACCTTGATCAAACTGTTCAGTGCAAACTCTTTAAGAAAATTCTGGCCTTGATCTTAGAAATTAGCTTATCGTGTTTTTTTTTTTTTCAGCTTCCTGAAGAAACAGAAATTAGTTCTCCTTCAGCTCTCACAGAGAAAATGTCCATGTTTTCCAGTAGCCAGACTGCAATACAAACAGGCAGCTCTGAAGACACGTTACACCCACAGCTCCTAACAGCTGCTCAGGACTTCAAAAGATCCGGCCCTGTGCCCTTCAGACGTAATGTGACAAAAAGACAGTGAAAATGAGCAGTTGTTTTTGAAAACTGAATTCCTGGCGATTTGTCCAACGCTGCCCAAGAAATAAGCAGCAGAGTCAGGCTCCAGGTTTGGGCAATCCTTTGCCTCAGCTCCCTGCCTGACCTTCAGTGCTTTATTCTTTCCCACAAACCTAATGGATGCTTCGCATTTATTAGCAATAAATAATTTCTCCATCTTACTGTAATATCCACCGTAATATTGTTATGCGCCACTGAAGGACTAAGACACTTTTTTCTTTTTCTTTTTTTTTTCCTGGCATACACGCTTAAAAACTCTGGCTATTATAAGGCTTTTAACATTTTTCATCTTCTGAAAATACGGAGCCAGAAGAATGAAAACCTCCCTTCTCGTGACCCACGTGTGCTTTCTCCACTCCCTGTCCGTCAATCAGGGCTCCCCAGGGAAATCCAACAGAAAGAGATGATGGTGAAAGAGAAGAGCAATGCTTTGGGCTACCTTATTCTTTTCTCAACACTGTGCTCTGCTTCTTTTATAAAGGAGAAATTAATACATGTCACAGAATGCCAGACACAATTCTGACTGAGAGGAGCAAATTGAATTTGCAAGCAATACTCCCAATCATGCAGCCTCCTGACTAAGCTTCCAATGAAATGCAGAGATGTATATTTAAAGCTGCTAGCTGCTGCATGCACATTGCTTAATAAGGTAAGTGACAGGTCTAGGAAATATGTATCTTCTTAGACCATGACAGTTGTCACTGGTGTAATTTTGCACTGAGAGACCTCTGGCCTTTTGGCCTCCTGATTTTTTTCTTTTTTTTCCCCTAAGGAAGCAATTCAGTTGGCAGGCTGTCTTTGCAACCTCTAGGCTGCTACCAAGAGTTTGTTCTTTCTTAAAGGGCCACCATATTATCAAACACATCATTGTCTGTAGTAAACATCCTAATAAAAAACTGAGGTGGAATAAGCACCTTGCAGGTTCAAGCTTTCCTCTGCTGCGTAAGGCTCTTGAGGCCTTGGCTGCAGAAGAAAACACTAGTGATTTAACCAAATCAAATTTAAATCTAGACTAATCAATAAAAGCTCCTTAGGTGGAGACTGCTATTTCAGAACCCAAACCATTTTTAAATTGTATTGTTTGCGTTATTGCATTCTATCCAACTAAAAACGATGTAAGCCACTTTTAAGCAGAAGTAACAGCATTTTCCCAAGATAAGAATCTTGGATTCTTTATGGGAAAGCCTGAAGGCTGGGTTTTCACTGGGAATTTTATACACAGCTCAGCAGCAGAACAGATCAGGTGCAAACGTTTCAATCCAAAACACTTCAGATCTGTGCCCTGCGTGGCAGCCAGGGGCTCCAAGTGTCAGTGACCACAGGTGAATTTTTGGCTGCTTCTGGTCATCTCATAACTTCTAGCAAAGCTGCGAGGGTGTCTGAAGTGAATTGTAGCAGATACATGGTGGCAAATCTAAACGCAGCTCTCCTTTATCACCAAAGCAAGTGAATGTCCTTGATATATATCACAAAGAGGCTCCACAAATGCCAGTTAAGGTGAAGATGAACTGCCTGAGAAATAGTTCACAGGAGCATGAACTCTAGAGTACACACATTTGTCAGCTGAGCAGAAGTAAAATCTCTTCCCTCAGCAATATATATAGCATGTTATTTCCATGTCAGGTGAGATGCTAACAGACCCAGGCTTGGATTTCCTTAGAGATCTGCTCAGGGAAGACGAGACCTGAACACTTTGCTCAGAAACACCCACTCAATGACTGCATTTCCTGCTGAGTTCCCCCTGCCAGGGGAATTCCTCAGCTGAGCTCTTCTTGTGCATTTAGAAGACTTTCAGAAAGGAGAAGCACATACGGCACACTGACCACAGCAGCTGGTCCAATCTTATCCAGCCTAGAGCAGCAGTATATACCCACAAAATGTAACCCCCACGGGTAGGAGGAACACCTGTATTTGTGTGTGACAAACTGAGAAAAAAATAAATCAATAAAAAAAGGAAGTGCTTGCAAAATGCAGAAGGCAGGCGGCTGTGGGAAGCTCGGGAGGGATCAGCCCTCGCGGCAGAGGCCGGCCGCTCTGCAGCTGCGCTGTGCGGAGCCGCGGCGGCCTTGCCGGGCCGGGCCCAGGCAGGGAGTCCCAGCGCCCAGGAAATGTGTGCGGGGGTGGAGGGAAAGCGCAGCAGTGCTTACCAAGCAGGCAGAGTTCAGAAAGCTTTCAGGGCTTTAGAAAAACAAGTTAACCCAGGCCCATGGCTACTGTGTGGAGCTGATGTCATCTGGCTCTGTGCATAAAAGCCTCCACTTTTTGTTCTTTTGTGTGTGTCTGGGGGTGACGTCACCACGAAGCACAAGGACGAACCTTTGTGTTGCAGCACTTCCCGCTGCTCCTGCCACACATCTCCCAGCCCAGAAACGCTCCCTGACCTCCGCTGAATGCAAAACACCGCTGCCTACTCGCAGAGAGCCCTTGGGGGCCTCAGCAGACCACGGCCGTGCCGACGAGCCCCTGCTCCAGCACCGTGTGGCTGGCGGGACACCGCAGCACCCACCGTCGGGCCCCCTCACCGACTGCAGCCGCTTTACCCTGCTGCTTCACATTGCTGTCAGAGCCGAACGGTGTGAGCTGATTATACAGAAGTGGCAGCTGTGGCTACTTCACTGCTTTCAAGGTTGGATCCTCTTTGATGGGACGTACAATGGCATACGATTTAATCTCATTGCGGTGCAATGTTGCCATTAAATAAGCAGAGTGAAAAAGCTGCATTCGGAGCCTTACTGCAGAAGGAACTGCCAGCATCGTTTGCAGTTGTACAGTCTTTAACAGATTTGTTTATAGCTGACATGCATGCTTGCCTATTTAATGAGGCCTGTGACGGTCTTCGTGACATGAAAGCACAAGAGGAAAAAGGCCCAAAGAACATCTTGGGCCAATGTTATTTCACACACAGAAAGGCGGGAGAGAGGAGGGGGGTTGGAAGTGAATGCACTGCCCAAGAAAACAAGGACCACAAAAACAACCAGAGCGAAGCTTGCACAGAAAACACAAGTCTGTGGGAATTGTGGGCAAAATGAGGGTTGAATGTCTCCTCTGGAAAGCCCAAGGCACCCAACGTTCCCCAGTAACTGAGTATATCACCTTTTGAGCACAGAAATTGTGCAGATGCTCCTCATGACAGCGCAAAGGGTGAAAGGATATTTTGAGAACAGTACTCAAGTCAGCTCTGAACTTTTTAGGTATATGTGTAAAGACATCAGGAATTACTAGAAAATGTTATGTATTCAGAGCCATAATGTGTTATTTCTGTTTAATCAGAGCTGCGACATAACCTGGGACTTCACTCTATTTTCAGAGAAGAAGAAAACACACTTTCCCAGAGAAAATCTGGTTACCTACCATTGGCATGCCACAGCATCTGGAACCCACTTCTAGCATTCAGTCCGTCAGAGAAAAACACCACGTGGAGGCTGGTTCCCGTGGTGTTCCCTGCTGGGGGAAGAGTCTGCCCACAGAAGGTCCCTATCAGGTTGGACTGTGCATCAGGCCCATCATAGAGCTGCAAAAACACAAAAAATATTCCAGTGAATAAAAAGCTGCTCCCCAATTCTGAAGGTTTTATAAAGGATGTCAAAGAAAAAGTTGGGAGGCTTCTCACATTGGCCACCTTTCCACAGCAAAATGAGCTACAGGAAGCATGGTGAGATTTGGATGCAACGATGACCAAATATAACTTCAATATGTCTTTAAACCTGGTTGCACACTGTGCACAGTAGGAAGGTTTTGCTGTTGCTGTTTTGGTGTGTATTGGGGGTTGCTGGGGAAGCAGATAAAAGGCAAACAGCAATGAAGTGAAATGGAAACAAAAAGGGGATGTCATGGATCCAGTCTGAATGTGAATCTAACACATGCTCATTGCCTCCAAACCTCTTGGAGATAACTCAAAATGCATCCCCGTTCCTAAGGGTCACACTCAGGTGATGTCAGACTGACCAAACTTGTGTTACATAAAAGAAAAGCAGTCAGCATCACAAGACGCTCCCTGAGTTGTGAGGACAAACTGAACACAAAGCAAAGTGGATCCTCAAAAACTAGAAAGCAAACTTCTCATGTGTTAATTTATTGTCCTATCTCATGACAGTGTCCTGATTTGAAGGAGGGGCCTGTATCATGATTTCTGAATTTTTGCACTTAGAATCAATCTCATTCTCTACGAGACAGTATTTTGACAGTCAGGGAGTTTACAGACATAGTTAGCCTGAAAATCTTTCTATTCCCTAACACAGATGAAAAAGTTGCCATCCCACCCTTAAAACATCATCACTCTAAAAAAAAAAAAAAAAAAAGAAACAATGGAGCAAATTGAATGATAGGGAAATATTGCTGTTTTATAAACCTTGAAGTCTGAAGTTAGTTATATCCTCGTATTTAAATGAAAACACTAAATACATGTTTTGACTGGGTGACAGTGGATTCTCAGAGCTTTTGTTTTAATCCTAGTTTTGTGACTTGTTTCAGATGCAGTAAATCATACTGAATCTGTGTTCTTCACTCTCAATATCGAGTTGGGGAGGGAGGCTGGTGGGGCTATATCACATTTGCACACCTGGTAAAAATCAGACATTTTAGCTAACCTGCATTTGACTTATATCAGATTGCCAGTTATTGTCAGGTTTGCTTTATTATTTCTGCCAACGTTACTATGATTCTCAAAGCTTAGAAAAAAAACAACCCTTATGCTTTTTTTATCACTTTGCCCCAGGTCATCTGATCTTCTCTCTCACAGAGTGTATCTTTCTAACACAATCCAGCAAACCTTTGGCACAAAAACTGTGTCTGAACATTGTGACTTTTTGGCTTGTTCACTTTCAGAATTTCAACACAAACTTTTCTCTGTTCTGAAGCCATCACCATAAAATTCCCTCCATGCACAGAATCAAACCTATGATCTCTAGAAAACAGCCACAGTTTATTTATCTTTGCTCTCCATTCAAAGCTCTTTTCCAAATACCTCTAATTCCACTAAGAATTCTCCTACACTGCACACTCATAGTATGGAAGTACAATATTACATAAAATTATAATTAACCACACTAGCTACAGTGTGCCTTTTTTGCCTGTGTTTTCCAGCAGAATTGTGAAGGAATAATTAAGCCCTTAGCTTTTGTATTCAAGGTGTTGATCCTGCAGAACTTTCAGAAAACCTGTTGTTGATTTAAGACATAGTTCATAGTTGGGAGCAAGAAAGCTACTCAAGTGGTTTCAAATCCTTAAGGAGTCAGTCAAGTTAGTATAGCTTAAAAAAATAAAAAAATAAAAAAGACGTAGTTCAACCAGAAGTTATGGGCCCATTGCAGGAATAATTCTATGGTAATATTCTATGGCCTGTTTTGTGACTGGTGACTCCATCTTTTAAGTTTTAAATCCTCTAATTTCATGAAATGTCCAGAGCATAAGAAGTGTATTGGAACAGGATCATGGCATCACTGGTGCTTATAGAAAAGCCTAGACTTGATGTGTGTGATAAGAAATGTGAAGTTATGGTAAAGGGTAGATGTTAAGAAGGTTGGCATCCCTCTGTAGTCTTTCAAATGTGAAGCTTGAGGACTGCCCTGTGGGCAGATGATGCATCCCCTGCTCATCATAGCAAAGTGTCCCCTGCTCATCATCTTCCCAGCCAATCTGAGTGTTTCACACATTCACTCATGCCTTATCTTCAACAAAACGAAATAAAGTCAGCTCCAGCACTGCTTCCTTCAACAGCTTCGTGGTATATGCTACTCTGTGGCTTGGAGCCACAGAAATATTACACCAGAAAAATATGAATGGGGAAGAGTAAATCAATGTGAAGACCACAAATCCATGTTCTCCATGAGGTGCAAATTGTGTGTTGAGTCACATACTTAACCATTAACTGCTAGTTAATTAGTGATTACAAATCAAAAAGAAGTGAGAAACTTTGGACTAAATAATATCCAGACGTTCAAATCAGAACAAAAAATAAGCTTCATGAATCTTCTGTAATTTTGATTCATCAGGGGAATGTTATTTTTATCTAAGGCAGGGGACGTCATATTTCTATGTAATTTCCCCTGAGAGCAGCCCGTCAGTTCTTCAAGACACAAATAACGGTTACTATAGCAATCACTTCATGCCATATTGCCCCGTCGCTGCGGCTCAGCCTCGAGTTTCACAGGAAATCCAACTGCTTGGCCAGCTGTAACTCATTGAGCAAGGCAGGCCTACAACAGCTAGGATTACAGCAGGTTTTTTTCAAGCTGTCTTTCACTTAGAAATGAAGGGAACAGCTGTGTGTTTTCACAGGGCATTTTGAACTTCTAAAAACACGTTTTGCTCTTGTATAAATATGGGTGAGTGAAACTGAAGCTGAATGCAGATCTCAGGAGCCGCAATTTCTCTTGTCTGGGATACAATTCTCATTCAAGAGCTTGTGATGTCCTCTGGGCTATCCTAAACTCCTGAAAATCGAGGGAAAGTGTTTCCTTAGGCAACATCATGCACCGTATTCCCCTTGCCTGCTCAAGATGATTGAATTTGGGGTAGTTCATTAGCAACTCCAGGACCAAACTTACTTTAAGAACTGCAATGTTTTTATTCTGTTTTGTTCTTTC